CTCTTAAAGCCTTTAGCCCTAAAAGCACACCCATGAAATTAAAATTATATTATAAACTAACATATTTAAGGAAATTTTTTTTAGCTTTAAGCTACCCTCAAGAAGACTTACTTGATAAAGCCTCAGCATCTGTAGGGTTAATCAGACATAATAAGAATAAGAAGATCATATACCTGTCTGCGAATTGGTCCATACAAACTAAAAGTCCCAGAATTCTCATGATCTGTAGTCATTGACAGCATCACAGTGCTTGTTAGACAGTAATAAGCCATTCCTTCCACTTCTGGCCCAACCTAATGTACCAATAATTCCAACAAAAAATTAATCATCATATTATCTTCTTAACAGTTAACAGATCAAAAAAAACTCTACAGTCTACCTCAATAAGATGTATAGCATCCCAACCTCTCTCGTTCAGGTAACCTCGCACACCATGTGCATACTTTGATCCATCTTCATTCATATCATAGTTCAAACTTCAAATATTAATATTACTCAAAAGGATACAAAAATGGCCTATATGTGATGTCAACTGTCAACACTGACCTTTTTTTATCAAGAAGCAAGCCAGGAAGCCTTCCTTTTCATCATCCTCCCATAAGTACACTGATGAAGTACCACCTTCATAATACCTTTAAATCCCCAACATTCAACATACATATTCCAATTTTAAATTAAAACACAACATTCATATTTCTTTCATATTACACAATAAATCCAACATACAAACGAGGTGTAAGTAAAGGACCTCACTAGTCACGATATACACTGAAGACTTCATTTGCTTCTATTTGAAGTGTCCTCAATTCAGGAGATGGATACAGCCGCCCTTCTAATGGAGGATGGTATTTATTTGACCATGGTGATCTACAAAGTACAACCAACCAAACAAATATTTCACATTATCAACAACCAATAAAACAACATTACTATTACTATTTTAAAAAGACGATTAATCCTATTCCTATCAGACCAGATCACTAAATTGGAAAAAAAAAAAGTCTCCATCAACAATTCCTGATTTCCCTTAGCATTTAACAACACTCCATTAGTTCTGAATATCAAATAGATTTAAAAATGACCAAAAAAAATGAAGACTAAACCAAACAGAAATAGGAAGCGAGAGAGAAAACAGGATGTATATATATATATATATATATATATATATAT